CAATCGATTCCAGTAGTATGAGCTGATCCTAAGCGATCGTTCAATTTCCTTTTATTGGTAGAAGCGCCGAGAAGATTGGACATTCCATGAGAAAGGGGATGCGCGAGGGGTTCGGTGGTAACCGAAGAAATAAACCCGGCACAAACACAATAATTACTATCTCTTTATTTGGCTGTTTGTCGGGCGTTCTCTCTCCGTCTCTTTCTGGCCATAGAACGGGCGTGCTGTGCCGCGCGTCGCGCGTGGTACAGAAGTTAATAAAATCCCAGCAACCACACCGTGCCGCCCCAGGGGAGTTTATTTAGCAGAGGCGTAGCCATCGTTTGCAGGTTCGTTCATTCGTTCACAAGTTTGCAACTTGGCGATTTCGTTCATTGATTCCATGAGTTTCTTTTATTTAGAGACAGCCATAAGACTTACGTCTCGCTAAGTAGAGTCCCTCTAATAAGAGTCCGGCCAACGGTGGGGCTTGTTAGTGATTGGCTCCGCCATATTATGGGCTCTTTCCGGAATAGAATGGTGTGTATGAATATGTATATGGGAGAGATTCGGATTGTGTAGTGTGGGTAGGGTTAAGCCCTGTACGGCGGGTTGCCTGTACTTGGCGCGAGACTCGACCGATCTCGCGCAGTGTCATGGTGGCGCGAAACAAGCCTTTAATATGGCGCCCCTTCCGGGTGTTGGCCGGACTCTTACTAGAGGGACTCTATCGCTAAGTACACTCGCGAGCGGGCCTCACCATTTCTTGGTTATGTTCACTACGATGTACGTAAAATAGTTCTTACTCTGTAATAGTCATCACGATTATTCTGTATAAAAGTTTCAGGTTCTTCGGCATCACACTTTATCCTCTACGGTCAAGACGTAACAATGACGTGGCCTCGGGGGCCAATAACGACGTCCTAATACTGTGTTCTCTCTTTTTTTTCTCGGCAAAACCGGACCTCTGAAAAGAATCCGGGGATAAAATCGCCTTGTGTCGTTAAACAAATGCTTTCTATCCTAATATACGTGCACTCCTCTGTCACTTGATAACACAATAATGACAGCTCTATTTCTTTGACAGTTTTCACTCGGCATAGTCCGTAGCTGCTCACTTGACTCACGCACTACGAGCAGAGTCAAATCAGCGTTTCAAATATTCAATTCGAACGGTTGGAAAATTAAAAAATTAATTATTAAATTAATAAGCGTGTAATAATGTTATTTTCTCTTATAAAATTTTTATAGGAATAACGATGATATTTGGAATGCTACTGATTCTTGTCTAGCTCTAGCTTGACACTCGGTAGTCAGTTATGGGCGTTCAATGCTCGCAGGGAGCCGTTTGATCTTCGAATTGGTTCGCTGAGCCCATTGTGAATTGTATCTGCTTCCTTTACGCCTCACTCCACTCCCTTTCAGTACGAATCTTCTCTTTTGCAGATTTAATGTTGCCTATTGTAGATGACGACGTATATGCTCTCCTCACTCTTTACTGGAAGACTCCACTTCGAGACTGTGCGATATAACAATTACGTCTCGTATTAGTATGCCGACCCATTTTGAATCGGATCAAAGAGATTTTTTTTATCGCTATCGCAAATTATTTCAGGCTACGGACCTCGTCATTCATATCCGCTGTAAAATAATCGAAAACCCTACCTGTCACCGGAACACTCGGCTCCACTTGTGTCACTGCTTAATTGCCACGATCATGGCTACGTCGCAGTTACTATGTGAAATGACTTCCCTTTGATATTTAAAATTATTATTTAATCTTAGGTAAACTACATCGCTGACGCTTTATCAAGAAGATTTGGGAAATTTTGAGATAAATTTGGAATTTTGCAAGACTATACTGTATTTATAATTAATACCTACGGTTACTATTGCTTGGAGTCATCATTGGCGTAAATCCGGATGAAGGTAAACGACGTGTCAAAGGATACCGTTACACCAGGCCATAATTAAGCTAATTACAAAATTCTCTCTGTGATAAGCTTATCAGCTTAATCCAAAAATATCTTTCGCTTACGCACGTGCTTAATTAATACTCCAAACTAATTCCAGTCGATAATTGCTATCGTGTGTCGCTGTTAATAAGCATGAAATACGTTTGTCAAATAAGTGATTTATGATTACATTGATATTAAAACGTCTTCCTATATAGAGCATATTAGGATAATTTTGAAATTCTAATTGATATCATCAGCCAATTGCAATCATTGATCTATATAATAATAATTGATTAAAAATTCTATCCAAACTGCCATCAAGTACTTGTAATCATTTCGCGTACTATACATTCTATCCAATGCTAATTTTCCTACTTAACACCAGGGTACGAGAGCTCAGAAATTGAAGGATGAAACAATTAATGACTCACTAATAATTTAAGTCTTCAAGGATAATCGTCCAACCGTTTCAGCTTAGAAAATTGACCATATCTGACGTTGGAATTCCCAATTATGCGTCCAGCCATTTTCCGTTTTCAAATTTGTTAATCCTCAGGTCTACCAAACATCTGTAAGGCATTACCAGACAGATTTCTTGTAAAACAGATCCTTATTCCGTGCAAGCTTCACATTGTAAGTACTTCATTTTTCATTTTAACTATTTTTTGTTTACCCAGTATACTAATAAAGCATTTTTTCCTGCCGTTTAGTTAAAACAATCAACTTCGTCCTACGAGATTCCAGCATATACCTGAAATGTAAAGATTCATTCAAGGGTCAGAAAATGCTGTCTACAGATAATTTTGGTTAATGGATATTTTATTGTGGTCATATTTCTTCGTACGCGTGCCCAAAGCTTTTTGGACTATTCTTTAACACAGAAAAGTCGACTTCGGTATTGTCCAAGAGATATTATTTTCAATAGGAATCGATCAACCGTTGGAAATTTTGCCATAAATAATCTGTCCATTATTGTGGTGTACACCTTGCAAATAATTTTGGGTATGGTGCACAGGTGGCTATAATTAACCAACAATGGACCTTAGTATCTGATGAGTTCAGGATTTCTTAGGGACCTTTAGGTATTTATCAGTCTACTGTCTTTGACTATTACCTTTGAACGGCACGCTACCTGTGACCCTGTTATACTATTACGTTTCTCTACGTTACCAGAAGTACCCTTGTCAGAACGTTGAAAATCCTTTGAGAAGGCCTCAACGTGAAACCGCAGGATTCATTGGGGACTTATATGAATAATTATTTCTCACTGGCAGCAAGGGATGATCGCAACGCATAACTGTTAACAATTATTATTCCGTTTAATACCACATTCACAGATCCATTATAATTCCACTGAATATTCTCAAGAAACAGTTACTGTACCCACATTACACTGTTACTGTAATCTTATAGTCTGCTCGTCAGTAAAATATAATAATTTTGTGCGGGGGAGGGGGGCCATCCTCTTAGGATTTTTAAACTTAAAAGAGTCCCCTAGTCTTCTCATGTTTATTCGTCAGTCAACTCCAGGCTTCCTCATGAAATGTTGTCAAACTTAAAATTTCACTCAAAGTCCCTAAAACAAAAAAAAAATTATTCCACGATACGTAGTGAAACTATAATTTGGTGAAAGTCTAAGGATTTTCTAAATACCAACTAACGACTAGTCAAACAGGTAGAGAGAATTATCTGAAAAATTACCAGAGGACAAAATGGCTCTTTATTACTGACGGCGCGTAGATTAGGAACGATTTTATAAAAATGGCCGCAACCTCGAACTGAATGTTACCGGTTTACCAAAAACCGTCGACGGAGTTTCCGCCTGCAGCGCGGGTCCCGTTTGTCTTAGGATTAGATTACTGATTTAGGTTTCGAGAGAAGGTGTTGTCTTAGAATAAGTAGGATAATCGTAAGTAAATTTTGGGACTCTTTCAAAAATTCCAAACCTTCGTACGACCTCGTTTCTCGCAATTATTTCGAAAACCCCGGGTGGTTCTACGATTTTCGTTATCCCTGAAGGACGCTTTTTCAAAATCCGTTCTTAAAACTTCTGGACACCCAGTGTATACTTAAAACGTTCTTACTATATGTAAACGAATTATTTTACACAAATACTGTACCCAATGCAAATTTTTTGTATGCGAATTATTCGTATTAAATAAATTTTAAAAAACGCTTTGAATGAGTCTAGTGCAAGCTCATCGATAAAAATAAAATTTCGTAGCAGCTTACACGGGCTATTTTCATCCCTATTACGAACACGTGCGCATTTGATTAAATTATCGTAACTGATACGACAGGACGTGTAACGCGTAGCTGTTAAATTCGTATTACGTGCGATAATACATAGACTGTACGATTGACTTTCCCCAGTACAAATTGTAATTCGCTTAAACCGTTTCCATACAATTGTATCTACCACCGTAGGGTTATCGCCATTATCTTAAGAGCCACGCAATACAGTCATGCAAGAAAGATACAAAAAAATTTATAAAATATAATTTTATAACCCGAAATTAATTTTTTTCTCAACGATCCATAAATACCTGCGACTTTGAAAAACTTAAACTCCAACCGATATCGACGAGAGACAAGATAGTACAAAATAAGGTAAAACAAAATAGTCGAGAAAATAGCAGCTGATACGATAGCACAGTCGAGCAATGGCTAATCACTTTTAATCGTGCGCACTACTGGTAATCCGTGCCATCCAATGATATCGAAAGGGGATCCCCCCTTTATATCGATAAAAAAAGATGCATCCCCCACTCGAATACAGCCTGACACCGTGCGAATTCAAATGGGTGAAAGCAATGATTCAAAAACAAAAGAATACACACGACCAAATCTAAAGCGCGGAATGATCGTTAATAAAAAAAAATGTCTAGATGGATTGACGTATCCACTACGAGGGAGGGAGGAAAAAAAAAGAGAATCCAGATTATACAGAAGGGCAAAATATTCCCCGCCCAGAGCTCATTCAACCCCTGGCGTGGGGTGGCTTGCGGGAAAATTCTTGCCTCTCATTGGCCGTACGGCTAATATGGCGGCGTTAGGGGCTGCGAGGTGGGGCGAGTCTACGTAATATTAAGGGCTGGTTTCATGTTCGATGACTAGTTCGTGTTGCGCCGTCGGTCGACGCATTCTTGTTACGGTGCTCGTGCTCGAAGGTTCTCCAGGACCTACAAAATAAAACCGCCAAATTCAAATTGAATTTCGTAATACAATAACGACTTACCTAACACCCACGACAGTAGAGGGTATAGAAACGTGAACGTAAAGGGCGGTTTAAAAGTCATTTAGTTTTTCGATTATTTTACCAGCCCTTATGCAGCAAACTGCTTGCATAAAAAAATTATTATTATCATCATTATTGTTATACATACGACTGGTTTGACGTGTGTGCAATTTTTTATGTCACCCCTGCATTAATACTGACAATGGCGCAGACCTATAATCAAAAGAGGAACGTGTACAGCATCGATCAGATATTGGGTCACGCTAAGGAAGAAGGTACGAGGATATTTAATTGTTATTTATCTCACTGTTAATTAACGCATAAAGCAAACAACATAAATCGAGTATGAATTTTGTGTATGAAATTTTTTCCCCCCTTTTTTTACACAATATTATACGCGCTACAATGCTATTAATTCTTGTATCGTGAAATTTTTTATTATTTAGAACTTGGGAAATATTTTCGTTGACTTTGATTTGATTTATCAAATATTATCAAATCGACGATAGTATTCTTACTGTTACTTTGACTGTCGAGTCCCTCGAGAGCAACAAGTACCATAACTATAGTGAGAGAAAAATAGTTAAAATAAAATATGAATGGCTGAATAAATTCATTATTAATATTTTACTAGGTTTCGGAGATCCATACTGTAGTGTGATACGTTAATCATTATTGTCATTAGCTTATTTTTTTTTCATTGTCAATCTATAAATACTCTGTCAAGAATTTTCTGTGATTACTGGAGTCAGAGATGTACGAAAATATATGTTCCTTCTTTCTTTTCATGTCATATTCACACAGTCCGTTGCTCGCGTTTCCATGAGCCTTCAATTTTACGTTCTTACGTATCGTCCCTAAATTACTTGGCAATTTTATCACATTGCCTTCACGACAACTTTCTCACATTTATTCACTTCTTTTTCCCCTTTGCGCGATATAGTAATAAAGGTAGATTAAAGAGATGCCTTGTTATACCATGCAAGGTATGAGGTAGCTATTTAGCATACGATACGTATACGATAACAAAATTATCACACGTACGTTTAATGAGATGTGACGTCATGCGTATTGTACTCTCGTTGAAAATATAAAACGGATAATATTAAAAGAATTTGAAAAACAACTCTCGACAATATTTCATGCAAATTTCGTATTTTCTAAGAGTTCTAAACTATTAAACTTTACTAAGAATCCTAAATCGGTACGATTCACCTGGCACGTGGCAATTTTTTTTTTAATACAGGAGGGCAACGTACACACTTTATACGTACAATATGTATGTAGAATATTTTCACTCGGATCTATTTTTGAAAAAACATTTGCTCGCTGAGTGCATAGTGATTAATTAGTCCAGAGGGGTAAATTAGATTTTCATTTACGTTGCCATGACATTTTCTATCCTTACTACGAGGATCGGTCATAATTATTGTATTACTTAATTAATAATTAGGTATTAATTATTATATATATATATATAAAAATAGCAAATTTGGCATTGATAAAAAGTTGAAAATCTTGTCGAATAATTTAAAGAAGATTTTGATCTTCTTACGTACATTGGGTATATCCGCGAAATTGTCTATCAATAAGAATGATAATAACCGATAAAAGACTTACCCGTTAGTTTATTACGGTAAATAAATTTTTTATTTCACATAACGTCATCCCTGTGCTCTTGTCGATTTAATAAAAAGCAATAGGGAGGTTGGCATCAAGTGGGCGCCCCATTGTGCCCCAGCATAAAAACATAAAAATCTCCCTATTCAGCTTGGATTAGCCAATGCACATGTAGTCGGCGTTCACGTGAGGGCGATTACGTCCACACATGATATACACGTAAGGGTTGAAGAGTTCGTTTCACCGACAGGTATAAGCTGACGAAACTGCTGAATGCGGGTGAATAGACTTTTGGGAATCTGGATTAGCGTTATTGTAAATTAGTACGTAATAAGTGGCTAATTAGTCAAAAAGTACATTGATTTTACGGTTATTAAAGATCCATGAAATATCGGATAACAATAATCATGAACGACCCATGTGTGGGTGTACCCTCGTGCGAGCAAAGGTCAAAGGAAACTCTAATGAAAAATAATTATCAGGTTGAAAAAGAAATTCGAAAGAAAAGTCGTGTCGTTAGCGACGATATTTGGCGATGAAAAGAAAAAAAATGTAAAAATTTTTTCATTTTAAAAAAATTGATAAAAAAATGTACACGTATCATTTCGGCGAATCGTATTCGGATATAAGTCCAGGAGAGTTTCTATCTGTCTCTCAGGCATGTATTTAGTTACTGATTATCGTGAGAATGGCGACGCGTATGAATGCCCAGTGAAATATCTCGACTGTATCGTGCACGGATCAAAATGAAATGCGCAGGAGCTTAACAATTGAAAAAGCCGATCGGCGATCGGGACGATATCCGTGAGTCGCATCGAGAGCATCGAGCGGGGCTTAAAGTTAAAACTGTTCGTATCATAGATATACATGAATTTCCTATTGGCTGGAATAACAGTTTTGGTATGTTATGGGTGAAAGTGCCTGTATAGTTCAGTAGTAATATGTAGCTCTCTTTATATAAATATATATATATATATATATATATATATATATATATATATATATACACGCAAATTTAAAACCACTTCCTCTCTTGATTTCAGATCACGCAACATCCTCGGACGCGGTTGGAGAATCCGGTGACACCGAACTTGGTCATCTGAGTGATCACCAGATGAACGACGCACTTGGCGACTCGTTGGATCTTGGAGAATCCGACAGACCACGTAAAGTTCGTAGGTCACGAACAACCTTCACGACTTATCAGCTTCATCAGCTGGAACGTGCCTTCGAGAAGACACAGTACCCAGACGTCTTCACGAGAGAAGAATTGGCCATGAGATTGGATCTGTCCGAAGCGCGAGTTCAGGTAGGTGTTTTTGGAGCTAAAGAGACAACAAAAATGGATACATTAGTATGAAGAAAAAAAATTAATTTTTAATAAAAAAAAAATTAAAAATTTCACAAAAATCTCATTCCAAATTCGTCCTTTTAATATTAACTTCGCGTTATCAGTGCCCATGTGACGCGCATTGCCTTGTGAGAGAATGACTTTTCTATCGGTCCAAATTGGTTACTCGATTAGCGTAACTATCTGACACCCTTGCGCGAGAGCGAGGGATGCTGGTTGGAGAGCACGAGGAAGGGTGCGCGTAGTTGAAAAGAGACACAGCGTTCCGATTGGCCCATTGTGGTACATCCAAGCGACAATGCCGGCAATTGGCCGTCGCTCGACAAAACCGCTAAATGATCCGTCAGTGCAGTGGTGCCAGGACCACTTTATTTCAATCTGGGAAATCCTCAGCCCTAATTTTTCTTTGGACAATATTTAATATGTATATATATATATATATATAATATATACGTATAGGCACGCGCAACAAAGTTTTTCGAAGAATGAGATTTTGGATGATAAAAAAATTTTTTTTACTTAATTTCCTATCTTACACGTATAACTATTGATAAGAGCTTATGACTTCACGGTGAGACTCGAGTTAACGCGATTTAGAGTTTGGAGTTCCTCGTGGACCGCTTAAAGCGTTGCGTAACGGTGTTTGTGAGCACTTAGGCATTAGTCAGGGATTCAGGGGTGATTAAACGATTAACTGCAATTAAGCAATTCAATTACGCGCTGCGGCCCTCGCGGAATTCCTTACGTTCACGTAGTTAGTGGATAAGTGTACGAAAGATTATAGCGAAGACGGTTTAAATTTATTTCTATAAATTCATTAAAGATACGTAAAAAATGTTAAATAATATAAACTAATACCCGAGGCAATCGAAAAGATTTAATTTAACCAATAAATAATTATATCCACGTAAGATAAATCTCTATTAACCCACATTCACATACGTGTAGGTATATGGTGGCTCAGAAGTCTTGCATACGGCTGAAGGTGGTTTTAGTGTACAAATCAAATGAAAGGGCTAACTTCACTTGATGAAATATCTTTGAATAAGTATATATATATATATAGGTGTATATACAGCAAGCAACGTTCCTTCGCGTAATCGGGTTATTCCATCGTATCATCAAATCGGATTGGAATTACTCCAATTATGCAAGCTCTTAGCGAAGTTAATTGAGGTTGAGCGAGACATAAAATTCATAAGTGAAAAATTATAATTTAAGTATAACCTTTATTCGACTTTTTATAATTTTACGAAGTAAGATACAGAATAAATTTCAGGGAGCCCTTTGTATCCTACGCCATAGATTAGGGATCATAGAAAAATCCACTGACTAGACTGCCTCAAGGGGGAGTTTATATCGAAAGTACACAAAATAGGGGAAGGGGGGTACGTCCCCTAACGTGTACCCACCAAAAATCAGACTAACTCAAGCGAAAAGCGAAAGCATTTATACGGCAACGAGGCCATGGGGTCTGGGGGGTGGCTGCCACTCAGGGGTCTGGAGCAAATCAGGATAATTGTTAACAATTAGCTTAATCAGCCTCGAGAGGAAGCTATTGTTAGGAGCTCTGATACGCGAACTGGGGTTCTCATACCTTCTTCTTTGGAAAGCTTATTTATGTGGATATACATATGTACTGCTTTGGGGAAGAAAAATATCTTGTACCCGGAAAGCACAAAAATGTTGAGAAGACTGATTCAGGTGATCTTACGTCTCCTATTTTCACGTCTTATAGACGCTTCTTGCCTAAGCGATGTCTTTATTGACATGAGAAGTCTGTAAGACATGAAAGAACGTGGTAAGCCACCGTCCGAAGACGTTTCGTCGACATCCTGGTAATTTGCGCTGCCTCGGTAGAATTTCCTGAAAAATAATTTTACATATGATCAGTAACCTACGACTATGAACAGTGTCTTGATATTTTGTGTTTCAGGTTTGGTTTCAGAACAGACGGGCTAAGTGGCGTAAGAGGGAAAAAGCTCTGGGCAGGGATACAAGCTTTATGCACGTTGAACAAGCTGGTGAGTATTTTCATTGTTGAAAATGTCTGTCAGTGTATGCTAAAGAATTATGGGTAATTTTGGTGTTGACGATCGTTAACGATATATAACGCCGGAGTTCGTACTGCCACAAATATCGGGATACCAGTTACGATAGGGTAGATGCAATCGGCTGGGATAATTACGTTTAATTTTACTGTCGGTCACTGCCATCGCCTGGGAACGTGATCCAAGCCGCAGTTCATTGCAGGAAATGAAAGGGCTATATTTTTTCACGAAACCCTCGCCCTACAAATTTCAAAGCAGAGTAATAATACACAAATTATTATTTCACGTCTTATAGATATTTATTTTTATCAATTTTGTTGCTAATTATTGATTTTTAATTTTTGTTTGACTCAAAAATACTAACCGTAGTGTTTTTTAACTTGGCATTGATCCTGATGTTCCAGGTGTGAACGAGCTGTCCCTTCATGCGCACTTGCTTCAGAGTGCCGGCAGTGTTTCAGGGACGGATCCGTCGACTCCATCGGCGGGTGCCTTCCCCTGGTTCATGCCACCAGTCTTTCCACCACCGTGGCCTACAAGCGCCCCGAAGTTACCACCCCTGCATGCAATACTCTCGCAGTACATCGGACTTCCGTTACCTCAGAATTTGGCGTCTCTCAGCACAGTACTTCCGGTCGGTTTAAATCCAGCATCCTCACTCAATCACACCACGATCAATTCTCATCCGCTGAACAGCCAGCTTCATCATCCTCTTAATCTTGGCGTTCAGAGCATCCCACAGAATCTCAGCTCGAAACACGAGAGGGAAGAAGACTCAGCATCTTCCGACGACGAGATGAGAAGACAAAGTGCAGAAGTACTGAGAGTCAAGGCCGAGGAGGTATTACGTAAGGCGGACAATTAACTGAAATAAATTTTTCGTTCCTGTCAATTTTACATAAATTTTTAATCCAGTTATTTAATCGCAATTCGAACTGTCGAACAATCCGAATGCTCGTGGTCCAAACTTAGCGTTCGCCGTTGCCTAAATTAATCTCTAATCCGCGACAGACGATCATCACGGTTTGTTAACAATCTCCTTGTGATGGAAGAGACAGATTATGAGGAAATTTATTGATATATTTATAAGGTGGGAGTGTCATTCCTCATATATGGAAAAAAATCAACTTGACCGCTGGCGGTTATACTGAAAATTAATTAAATAATAATCTCTCACTTTATTGTACTCGTACTCCTCTAGCTTTTCATTATTGTTTTAATTAATTCGTCGATTTATTGGAAACGTGATGGACTTGTAATATATTATCTCGTATCCAAAGTGATTTTAAAAAAAAGGGTGATGGTTGCTCGCGTTTCCGCTTGTACTTATTAGTGCCGTGAATTGACGTATATAGATATATATAATTTTTTTATTTTGCTCCTATACCTCTCGATACCGGTATCTACGTTTATATTACGAAGAGCACACAATGGCGGTATCTTCTAACAATGAAATTATCTGTAGATACATAAAACCATAGACGTATGATTACCGCCTAGCATATCGAATTCTAGTACATTAACAAAGATGCGAAATAGGTGATAAGCTTTTGTAACATATGTGTATCATATAATCCACTGGCTAGCGTACTCTCTTTTCTTTTCTGTAAATAACTATAGATACCACTTATTAATTAAGTGAGAAAAATATATGAGAATTCGAAGAGACAAACGTTGTACGATCAATCAAAGGAACCTTTGAACGATAAATTAACATTGAAATAAATAATTTTTTTATTTTACTTACCTATAAATGCAAGACGTCACGAAACGTTTGTAAATTTAAAATAAAATTTTCTTCGTTTTGTAGAAGTCCAACTTCGTCACTGAACATCACTCTGTCGAAAATCATTTCCGTGTCATAAATCATGAAGAGATTTAGCTGTCGCCCATTAACGCCGAGTCTATCATTATGACGATTTCATGAATTTCAGGTTTACTCGGAAAACATTTTCCCACGCGTTGCGTGTAAACATTTGCCATCGCTCTCGTATTCATTTAATCATGAACGCCCAGTTTTTCTATCCGTCGGCCTTCTTGTCGTTTGCATTACACTATCGGGACACAACACGCACAAAGGCAATTACAAGCCGACCAATTTATTAGCAGTATCAGAAATTTATCTGACGCTTTGGTGTATTCGGTCGAACGATGGAAAGTGCGTGTCATTATTAGTTCACTGTTATTGTCAGTTTACACCAGCCATTTTCTTTTCTATCCCCACCACTGCAATTACACCACCTGGCCCATACGAGACACTAACCACACTTCCGTATATTAAGTATTTCCCCTAACTGCTGCATTAAAAAATTATATTAACACCATAAATCGATACACACAATTTGAATTAATTAAATTGACATTAAAATAATTTTTTTCTATACAAATTTGATTTAGCTTCTACCACTCTAGGCTTATTAATGTATTTTTTATTGCTCTTATATTTACTAGTGTTTGTTGTTCATATTTTGGTTATCCAATTGCATAACTTTAGTTCGAAACTATCAGTAGATATTTATAAGTTGACTACCACTGTTCAAGATCGCGGTGGCTACGAAGGACAATTAGATTAAAAGCAGCGCCTCTCGCGGCGGCTTGAGATCCATTAGTGCCCATTGTACCACCCCATTTGCACCCGGTTACCACCCCCGTTACGTTCCAAGCAGCCCCATCTCGAAGCCAGGTACTTATTCTCAATAGTAATATGCTCACTTCATACTTCCATCCCCATCCTTGTCATCGTTCTCTACCCTGTATGCTACATTCACGTCGAGCGCCGGAAAATCGTGCGAAGTGCCAGCTTGAAAAGATTTCAGTGGGTTGAAAATAATGGCATGATACCGTGAAATCAGCATAATGACACTGTGAATGATATCAATTAGTACGTTCACTTATTGACGAAATTCATCTGCAGTGGATAAAAACTGAATCCCACTGTTAAAACGTGTTTGACTACTTAGTAACGTGACAGGTAAAACATTTTTCTAGCAAAATATTTGTCGAATTCCGTTATGCGTTTATTGGTTATGTTGTGAGACTCTGTCAAAGAATTAGTATTATTGTCACAGTTCGGAACGGAATACGTCAGCTGAGCATTGGGCGCTTGGATAAAAATCAGGTAGAGGCAGACACTTTACCGTCGCTCGTAAATATAACATAAAATTACAGAGGAGTATAGACTGTTGAGCAAGAATTATGGTATTCGTGAAAAATGATTGAATAACCAGAAGTGTGATACGCGTGGGAAGAAAATAAGGTATTTACTTTTTATTCTTATCTATGTCAATGGCTGATTTATAAATATGTAATTCAAGCAAATAACTAATGTATTTCTATGAGCAATATAAGTTAGGTTATACACTGAGGCGATTGGCCTTAAATCTCTACGTAATACGACGTATAAAAATCGTGCTTGAATATTTTCAAATCTTTGAGAACTTTTTCAGTTCACACGCGGTGAATCTGAGTGTATGACTATGCTTAAAAATTTGTTTTATTATGATCCAACATTTAATTCCATAGCCTGGGTGTATACACTTCATTAAGACCATTAGGAAGCATCTGGGTATTCGGCTGGTTATATGGCTTTACTTTGGTATGCTGTGCTAACCCTGCACTATAGGGGTGCAGTAGTACCAACCCCCTAGGTAGGAAGAACGTGTCTTTTCACCCTTCGAAATGCATCGATGCTTGTCGGTAGTGATGAGCGTACTTATAATGTGGATATTAGAGGCGTATAAACTGTGTTTTAGGATTTTACACAAATCTCTATTACCTCTCATTTATACCTAATGGTTACTCAAGAAAGTTTATTTAAAAATGCTATTCTTCTATAGCTCTTCTAACGGGAGTCGGGCCCTGATTTTTTGGGGGAATTTTGAGACTCCACGGGACGTCGTTACGCACGATTAACATTGACGAATAAAGACATTTTTCAGGTAATAAAGGATGCATCAGGGCATGAGTTTATATGTGGTATATAAAAATCGAGGGATGGTTGAGTATCTTTTTTTATGGGAAAAAAGTGTTTGGCTTTTTTTTTTAAATCATAGGAAAAGCTGCATATCCTTTTAATCGTGTTTTCAAAAATTTTTTAATCGTCAAGATCGTTTCCTTTTTTTAATTAAATGTTGAATTATTCTCACGAGTAACGATTCTGTATAATCTTTAGTAAATTTGATGAAAATACAATGTAATCATTAGATATTTTCATCATTTTATCAAACAGAGACACGCGTTACGTTTAACGCTCACGATAGGCAGGTGTGGATCCTAAATCAAAGGCGGCTTGATAAAATAGAACCAAGCGAGATAATGAACCTAATGTAATGTAATATACAAAGCAGTTTATCAACGTATAGAAACAGCTTTTCCAGTCTCACGCTTTATTAAATCGTGGGGATATGAAACGACACATTATTCACATACGATAACTCCAGAACACGATGTTGTCTCAATAAATTATTGAGAATATCCTGGCACCTATTAAAATACCAAAAAAAAAAAAATCCAAACAATCTATCGAACAATAATTTCATATACATTGACACTAATGCTCCAGGGGTCTCATTTTTGTGAAAAATTTTCACGGTTGACTAAGTGTGATTTTTAATGGCCGTTTAAGGGGATTTTGGTCTGTAATTATCAAGTAAAAAAAAGTGTTACATCGCGTTAGGCATGGCGTGAACGAAAGTACAAAGAGAGTCGGTTACAGGATTGCTTGCGGTTCGTTCATCCCACCGTTATTCCCAGGATCTCAAAGGGGGCGTTTCATTGGTCGACACGACGTAAGAAGAGACGAGATTGGCCGGTACTGTGTTAATAGTATCACCTAACCGAATAACGAGCCTATCCGAACAGAAGGAAGTAAAAGGTTCAAAGATTTTTCGAGGGTTTAGTTTGGCTGGGCGTACGCGCTTTTTGAATGGTGAGACCTCCCGCGGTGCTGGCAGATGCGGACACCCGGTATATTATATATTTTCAAGGCATGTTTGGCCACAGAAGTATCTTTTATTGTAATGCCACGTGAAAGGGAAACCACGCGGTAGCGCCCGAAAAGCAGCCTTACAAATTTACAGCAAGGTTCATTCGTGCGACCGTACTTTTCTCTCGTCATAGAAATAGAAATTCGATCCCTGAGACCGTGCAGAGATTATAGAAATTTTTTAAAAAATAAATTTGATTCAAGAGATTCTCAAGAATAATTTTAATTAATTAGAGGGAGCGATTAGCCCCTTGTTATTTTTCAATGGAAATATTACGTGCTCAATACAGTATTGGACGATTTTGCGATATAATTATTTTTATAGACGTAATCGGTCCTAAATGGGAAACGAGATAAAAATGTGACGGGGTATCAGTGTTATTGATTTCATCTTAATCAGATCTCAATATCTCAATTACGTTCTAAGCCGGGCTTTTCCATTTGTTTGCCGTAGAGATTTTAAAGCCAGAACCATTGTCTGCACGCCACCCCTAGAGCCTGGCTCGAGCTTAACTTTTCATTCCCTTGTAAATTGCAGGTTCTCTCTGTATCACGAGGATGGAACTGGGTGTAAATCGAATGAAACAATGGATGAATTCTTCTTTTTACTGTCCTCAATGCCGCTTATCTGGCAGACACGTTATTAAGCGTCGATATGCTGCAGCACGAGTGTCCAATTATGTAAACGACCACCAGGTATATATATTAGACTTTTAATTTTTGTTCAGCCTTGTTTTTCTTTTTTAAATCAGCTGCTCCTGGATTCCTTTATTAGTGGAGGAATGATTGATCTTTGGTTTTTATTCTGTTAAGGTGATTTTACCTGGAGTCTTCGTAGCAGAGCTGATTGATTATACCAGAGGTATAATCTGTAATTTTCAATTAATTTTCTTGAATTTTCATGAGAGCGTTCCTGGACAAGGTAATAAGGCTCCCATGCCATCCCCTAGGGTCTAACGATACATTTTGTCAAACCAACGAAGCCCTGAGTGACACGTGGCGGCGCGTGGCAATAAAATCGCCACGTCCCATTTTGGCAATTTCACCTTTTATTTAATTAGCCTTATTAGACTAACCTAAAGCGAATCGCTCTGTGCATTTAATTTAATTCAAGCCAAAGCCAACGCACCGCATTTCATCCCCCTGCAGTAAGTTACAATGAAGATCTACTTATAATGAAGATATCATGAAGTTCGTACCTTCTCAATGATAATCATCATGCTAATTTGACTGTTATTGAAATATTTAACAGTCCTTCCTTTTTTCAGGTCTGTAAATGCTGAGTTGCGAAGGAAAAATTTTAATTAACCAGTCCTACCAGCAGCGAAGGACAAGGGAGAGCAGGGATTGAAGAGAAAGAGAAGTCTGGTGAAAATAGTTGCAGGGGTTGTGCGTATATAAATGTAGAAACCCCCGAAGCGTGGAATAGTACTCCAGGATGGCATCAAGTTCCATTGACGCATACACTAGCTCGCAAACAGATTCCCAGTTGAGTCGAATATATTGAAATAATCTCAGCAAATACGACAAGTTCGGTTATGAAATTTGCCGAAGGGCTTGTGAGCTCTCTCTCTGCTTTCGTGAACCCTCTAGAGCTTCATGGTATCTCACTCCGTCGAGGATCCAGCCACCCGTCCATCCGTACGGCCCTGTACCCCCTTAACCACCCACCCAACCGCCACGACCTGCTTGAAGCGATATTTGCTCAAAATCGGTTCAATAGCAACTTGGGTATTCGCCTGTTCCTCTTATATGTTCTCGTACTCCGACCAGTAGATGCTGCCGGTGGTACTGCCATCGGGACTCCCTATCCTCCGCGTCGTCAACCCCCTTCTGTGCTCACCAAAATCTCCCGCTGTATACCTTAGGCAGTCAGTCTGCGAATCAGCCTACTTGTACTCCGTATACTCTCTCTTTGCTTCTCTATCGCCCTCTCTCTTCTCCCTTGCTCTGGTTGAGAACCCCAATACAACCCTTGGAGAATCGAGAATCGTCATCGCCGGCAATCCATCCCTGCCCCCTCTCCCTGAGTCAAACTTTACTATTGAATAATTACTGGCCCTTCGTCAAGGGTATAGTACTATGGTTGTATGTATCAAATACCATTTATCCTTACGAGATTTACGGTTAGGGGTGGCTTTGAGAACTTTTGATCAGGGAATTTCTTTATGCATTTTTTTACTGTGTTTTATAGGCCAGTATTTAGTATTTCGAGGCGCTGACTCCAAGATCACTGTTTTTCGTGGTCATTTATCTTAGGGGTAGTTATCAGTTTAGTAGTTACTTTAATCGTCTACTTGTCACGGAGTGGTTGGTCGGTAGTCTAAGAGAGAAGCGAAGGGACGCATGAGACGAGAATGCGAAGGTTTTCGTGCAGAAATCGAAACCTTTGATACACAGGGTGGTACAATTAAACGCTAAACTACCCCTCGAGGGCAGGCGCACCCCTAATGCGCTCTTTATGGCGACTTAATGCCCCTAATATTGCATGCGACCCTTGTTTATACCAGTTCAGCGCTTCCCATTTTCATCCCCCGTTTATTCCTGCTTACCTAGACACATGTAGCTTATCCTTTGCATTTTCAATTGATACTTGTAAACCTTCAGCATGACCAGAAAGATCCAAACCGCGTAATATACTTTCAGAACAAAAAAGCAACCCTTAGATCATCACTGTTTAGTGCGTGAAAGCGTATTATACATTTAAAATCTACAAACGTCAAAATCCTCCCTTAATACTTCAATTTTCATTATCCAGCCTCCTCGCTTTACGTTATTATTAAATCATTTTATTATTTTGTTTGATAATATTTAATCAACAAATTCATTCAATTCTTCCAGGAACGTACAAAAGGCCTATGTATACTTGACTGGTGACCCATGACACAATAAATAGGGTGAGAACCCCTGGGATTGGGAGCATGGGAAAAGTTGACGTTGTGTTTGTACTAGAGATCTACCAGGCGAATAATGTAATGCAGACAGCTCTATTGAAACGTATCTAATATATCTGTCACCGTATCGCAGCCTTTATTTGGTCAAGCCTAAGGCAAGGACTTGATTAAATTATCGAACGGAGTATTAACACCAGAAAGAGTAACGTATTTTTCTCAATCAATGCAATAGATTGGAAATACAATAAGACAGTAAAATCACTTTTTTTTTTAATCACATTTTTAATTCAACTTTCAGGGTATCTACATTAGAAATCTATTAGAGACTCCGAAACGCTTTTGACCAAGATCTCGAAATCTTTTCTTTACCTCCAACCCCGTCTATGAGTGAACGAGTGCCCCGCACTTTCGACACTTGTCGGTAAAACTTCAACGGTCTTTACTGCGATTTCACTCAAGAGGGTCTCATTTCTCGTTAAGCCGCGGACAATGCAGCAAATGAACCGAATTTGCAAAACTCTGAATCCCACTGGCGCGTCTTTCAATGGTCTTAGTGGCCGCGGTACCTAGGCGTTAGAACTAACACCATTCAAGGTGTCAAGATGAAGAGGTTGAGACCTCAGCAGGTACTCGAAAGATCCCTGAGGAGTTCATTATGAATACCTGGACGGCGGTGCTATTTGTGGACATATTTTTTTTCCTTTTTTTCTTTAAAAGTATCTCCTTATACTTACTGTAATACAGACTGGCATTAGAAACCGATAGAAAATATAGGTAATAGGTACGAGTTAAGATAAGCTATAGATACTGTGAAAGAATCTTTTTTGTTTCTTTTCAACATTTTTTTTTTTAGGTACATGTAAAACGTTAGATAAGGGATAAAAATGAGCGGTAGGAAGGTGAAAAAGAATTTTACAAAGTAATTATATAATTTTTGGATTATTTGGTTTCGTGTCACTTTGTGATTTACTTGTTTAGAGTTGGTAATTTTTTAAAATGGTTTTTATTATATAAGTCAATTACTATTTGGTATACAGGGTACAGTACACTGACGTCATAGTACAAGTATCGCTACAAGAATACAGGGCCATCTGTGAATTTTTGTCGACAATGATTTCAGCCGATGAGCCTGACTGGTCTATTGTACATGAATTCAGCCCCCTCCCATAGGGGTGGAAAAACGCTTTCAAATGATTCGGTAACGATTTAAATTGTCCTGACAATCGTCAATCCCTTCTGTCATATGAGTGGATCTTTACGCTATTCAAGTATCTCATTACGTCATATCAATAGATTACATATGAAGGATTATCAGGTATAAAAGAAAATACACTAGATAATTTTACCAATGACTCCGTTAAATCATCAATCGATTTCCCCCACAGTGTCTGACAAGATAAAAATTCAAAAAATAAATATTTTCCAATACGTCCCAATGTCTGTCATCATTTTCTTTTCATATCAGCTGAAATGGATTGAAAAAAAAAAAAATAAAACAAAAAGTAAACCTGATAAAAGATACAAAATCATCGAGACCAGTGGAAAAAGTGTATACGAGAATTTAGCTTACTGTATACCAAGATAAAGTAAACTAGGTGTGACTAGGGGTAAAAAATGTTATTTTACTTTTTTTTCCAAAATTTCACCGTCGTCTCCATCACTATGCGTGCCATTTTTTTTATATCTGTATGTAACGCAGAAAACTGTATTATTGTCCACGAAGCGTTCTCTCGCTCAGGACTTTATGGGATTTTTGCTTTTAATCCAATCTATTGACAATTTGACGGGCGAAAAATTCGTCGCCGTTTTTGCCGCCGCCCCGCACAGCATAAAGCTATTAAAATTCATAACCTCGGACACACACTGTGAGGGGTTAAAACGTAGAGTTTGTACAAGGGTTGGAGGGAATTTCAAATGAACTAACCGAATTTGCGGAACCGTGCGCGAGCTCAAAAACAAGAGACGGCCATGCCTGCGGCTGAATTTTGAATATGCATTGCGTCCTGGTGCACGTATAAACGCTCTGTTTCCAATAATAGACAATGGAGTGGACCACATTAGATTATAGCGACCTCTTTGGCAGTGAGAACAACGGTGCAATCTTCCGTTGCAAAAATTGATGAAACAAAGGCGGATGAAAAAAAAAAAGAAAGAAAACCTTCAAATTCCCATTTTTACAAGATCACGCATAATTTGTTTCGATCTATTGGATGTGCTTGGGAATCTTTTTTTTCTTTACGGTGACTGTAGAAATGAAAAAAAAAAATCAAAATTTAATCGCTAATTGGTATCCACTTTATAGGCTATTTCCTATGGAAATACACGAGAATCGAGTACCTCTTTAGGAACTGTAGTTTTGTATGGCTGCTGACTCGCTGATGGCTGCGGCCAATCGAGGTGTTCAATGGAAAATGATCAAATATTTACGGACGAACGATCTGATAGTGATATACATATGTAGGTACAGTTTGTACATCGAAGATACTTGTATAGGTATACCTGTGGGAGAAGGAGTGTATGCTTTTTTTATTTTTTATAACACAGCCAAATGAGTTTCCTTGCGCTAATGAGGTCTCGTAGGTTTCCATTTTTTAAATATTATTTTGTATGGCTAGTTCTTTTTTTGGACGATTTATAGATTCCAGCGATAAGGTCGTATGGGTCAATTAATGCGGCACTGGTGATATCATTAATCATTGACTTGAAATTCTAATCAGGCTGCTCGGTATCACTGGGCTAGTTTTGTTGTGTTTTATGGATCAATATTAATTTGTAAAAACATTTCAGAACTTTCAAGGGGCAAGTACTTGGGATTGAGATTTAAAAGAAAATTTTACATAATTTTGAGGGGTGAATTTTAAGGGTGTTTCTTTTCATTGATAGGTAAAGTAGTGGGAGTTAATTATTTGTTTGCTATTGATAATACTTACGTGAATTATTCAATGGGCATGGATAATCTTGTACCCTGGCACGCCCTATGAAATTTTCATAAATTATAAGGTTACCACGTTAGTAGGGTAGTTTATCGGTATTACTATTGCTGAGAGTGGTGAACAGAGTTTTTATCCCGGATGGTAAGTTAACATGGATTTTTACCGACAGAGTAGAATCAACGTTACCATAGTTTCATTAACGTCTCTCATATGGCAGCACCTACCCCTATAAGAAGGGTAACAAGATATATCATCTCGCAAGCAATATAATTGATCGTTCGAATTTGTATCGATCAATTTTTCGTTAAATATGAAACAATAGTAAAAATTAATTTCTGTAGGAAATAATTAAATGTCATCCTTTGTAACTTTACTACCCTTACTAGCAAGCGGTTAAAGCGTTATAAAAGGAAACCGTGCATAAAGACCTTCTGATAATAAAATTTGTCACCCACTTGATTTCCCGATTTGCCCTATCGTTCTCGACAGTGCACTGTTATAATTACGAAGTAGCAATCAATTAGTACACCAATCATGCGTTGATTAAGGGGTCGATTGGAACGTAATGGGGCTGTTGGTGGTCAACGATAATTAACGCTCGCGGAATACCTCCCATTGCGTACCGTGTAAAATCAAATACCGACCATCTACGTGCCTACAGGAAACGAAATATCGAACGTGTGGCGACACAACCATCCTCATGGCGAATATAGAAAACAAACCGACAGCATCGATGAAATTGCATATTTTCTCAAAAAAGAAATTAAACTGAAAATACAAAGTAAATAGGTAATTATTTAAAAATATATCACAAGAAATAACATAGTACCCATGTAAGTATCCACATGACAAATATAAATTTATATTTTGTAAGCATAAAATCATTCGAGTAATTACAAACACTAATTACGGCTAATTTTGGTCAAACGTAAAATGGTATATACAAATATTATATATTAAATTATTAATAAATCAACTCTTACTGTGATATACATTTTATATAAGGTGCTTGCAATTCTTGAATAATTAAGCATAAACTAAAGTCTGACGATTGTCACGCGTAATATTAGATTTATGAAGTTAAAACTGAAATTCATGATGTGTCAAATTTTTTGAGATGAAACGTGTAGCGCGAAAGAGATAATATTAGCCAGCGACGATGTCGGCGTATTAAATTAGTTAAGAAAAATGAATTTTTATCCCAACGTATTTTCACGTTAGTAGTAACCGCGACTTTCATTTAAGTTAGCTAGTGGTAGCCAAACTACCTGATAACTTAGTGGAGGCTAGACTTTTACATATATATATATATTTATCCAACGAAACCCTCCACAATCCCGGTCACGTACCTATCTATGTAGCTACCAACCTTCCTTCCTACCTACCTACCTCCTAGCCACTTTGTTTCCCTTATTTTTAGCCGACGGGGTGAAAATGAAAGGCACGATTATTTTAATGAGAATCCAGCTCGTTTGTGGCGCCATCTCTGTACCGCTCTGGCTGACTCGTCTAATGAACACCGAGCAAATATTATTTCTGCTTATGTACTCGCCAACTTAGTATGACTTTGGCTTTAATTAATAATGCTAAACAATCTCCGTCAGTTTGTCAGTCGTGATTATGGCTTTACGTGGTTAGTCAAGCGTTCCCGGTGATAGGCACAATGGAAATTCATTGTAAGGTTACGATCTTGAATCGAAAGAGTCATCGGTCTATTTCATCGTCTTAAGAGCCTCGAAAGACGAGCAACTCTATGAAGACGAGTCGGCAGTCAATAAAGAAAGGAGGAAGGGAAGTGGAAAGGATAGACGTCGATGATGAACGTTTTGATATGATCTGGTAAAGATCATTCTTAATATTTCTGTAAATAGGATATTACACAGTGACGTATTTTTCAATCACGAGAAAATTGAAGTTTTCACTTTGGATTCAATGGGTTACGTAGATTTTTATTCTACACAGAATTTCACGATCAAGGTACACATTATTTTCCGTTATTTTATTGTTTTCTTTACGGCATGTTCCTCTTTTAGGTTACCCTTCTTATTTGACTCTTGTGGATTCTTAGCTCTGTTCCAAGCAATAAGGTTAGGTTGGCCGAGCATTAGGCAATATTAGACAGATGACGTTCAACCCCAAACCAGAAGCAGGGTAAGTCTCACTCCCTTTACCTGTTCCTAAACAAATTTAATAAACCCACGATTTCCGTGCCAATTTCAACCCTTGGGAAGACGCCCGTGCCGTTTACTTTCCTTGGCCAAGTATCGGTTCGTTTCGGTGTCTTCCTCGTTCCCTTGCGCCGTCATCGTCATCCCCTTAGAGTTGAATTGAACGAGCTTTCCTGGGATAAATTTATCTGTCGCTGTAAGGCCAGTGTTATTTAACAGTCAAACGAGCAGCTTCTCAAAAGGATCAGAGGGGTGAGTCGAAAAAAATTAAATCCATTTTAAGAGTTTCGCACGAGAAAATGGTTACGTACAGTCAGGTGGTAATTAACCCTTTCTTATAGCTCACTACTCAAAAGGTGTTTTTACCAAGTTTTTCCTCGCGGACAACTGTATTACTCCAGCCAACACTTTTCCCTAGGTGTATTAGTCTTTGGAGTTAGGGAGTACGCATGGACTTGAATTTCCAGGCTCGCTCGCATGGTTAACTTCGGCAAACAGAAATTACCATTTTATTGGGTGAGTTCTAGCGCCCTCTTGCACCCTCTTACGCCAGACCCTACCTTCCCTTCTCGTCCTCTTATCCTCATCCTCGTATTCTCCACTTGCGCACTTCAACTGCAAACCCCTAACGCGTCCATTGGAATACCTAATGGTTTGGGATCATTTGGAATCCATTGTCCCGTCAAGTTTTACTCTTTCAACATTTTTTTTCTCAGTTAATCCTGTCAATTTTTTTATGCATTGCCTTATCGGTTGTGTTAGCGAGAAAATTATTTAACTCGACGCCATTGTCAGTTACGTGTTACGTAATACAATGTAATATGGCGGGTAACAATGGCGGCTCTCGATCCGATTAAACCGTTGCAGTTTAAATTGAATTTCTTGAATTTTCTCATGCTCCGTTGTGGCAGTATTGGATTTCGTTGCTGATTCAGACGTCTAGTAATTTTCCATAGGGTCGCGATGTGAGACGCACGTCAAATTATTTGTAGAGTCCCGTCTCTTGGACGTCGGATTATTTGATGAAATTGTTGGG